TTACCTGCTGCACAAACTAAAATATATGACAGGACATTCTTTGGGAAAGAAAAGGCTTATTTCAGCTGACAATTATAGGGCCAGGAGGCCCAGTATCTGGTGGAGGCTTGTCACAGTGGGCACAGAGATACCATCCTGGGGGTGGGGAGGAGGCAGGGGAGGAGGTAGAAATCAGAGAGCGAACCTGAACTGAACTTAAATGCAAATAATCAAACCTCTTGAGAGAACCACCCTCCAAGGGCATGACCCCAATGACCCAAAGACCTCCCACTGGCCCTTTCTCAGACATACCAGCCTTAATCAATCAACCATCAACATTAAGACATCAGAGTTTAAACATCTGCATGAGTTTTGGGGAGACAAGTCCTGCTGTACCTATAACAAGTATTTTTATTTTTAACTTTTCTTTAATGAATATAAATTTCCAAAGTACGACTTATGGATTACAATGGCTTCCCCCCCATAACGTCCCTCCCACCTGCAACCCTCCCCTTTCCCACTCCCTCTCCCCTTCTGTCGCTCCCCGTCTTCTTGGAGGAACGACACAGGACCCTGCGCTGTTCTTTCGTCTGCTCGGCCCTCCCCGGGTTTGCTGCTGGTTCTTCCCGGGTTGGCTACCGTCCCTTCCACCTCCGTAGAAGGGCGGTTCCCCCTGGCCACTTTCCCCACTTCCGCGGGGGAGCGGCACACCGTCGGCCGGCTCTCTCGGGGGCTGCACAGGTGTTCCTCTTAGATGTTCCTCGTGCATGTTGTCTCTCTCCTCCTTTATAGTCCTCTTCCGCCAATCCCAACTCTGCTACCCACATGCCGAGTACGCTGCTCTCCTCCAATCAGGAGCAGGTCCTATAGTTTATTGGTTGAACTGGAGGCAGCTGTGTAGAAGTTCTTACTCCCTTCTCAGCGCCATATTGTGGGAGAGCAGATGCATAGAATAAGTCTTAATTCCAGTAACTTAGTCTAGTCCGAGTTGCTCCCCACACCCTTCCATTCACATCAAGATTCATTTTCGATTCTCTTAATATATAGAAGATCAGCTTAGTATACATTAAGTAAAGATTTCAACAGTTTGCTCCCACACAGAAACATAAAGTGAAAAATAATAATGATTTTTTAAATGATGATGAAATCAGATCAGACCTATTGTCATGTTTAATCCCAGTGAGAGTCAAGTTGGGAATTGATAATTTCTTTTTTTTTTATAGAAGATCAGTTTAGTATACATTAAGTAAAGATTTCAACAGTTTGCACCCCCATAGAAACACAAAGTGAAATATACTGTTTGAGTACTCGTTATAGCATTAAATCTCAATGTACAGCACAATAAGGACAGAGATCCTACATGAGGAGTAAGTGCACAGTGACTCCTGTTGTTGACTTTACAAATTGACACTCCTGTCTATGGCATCAGTAATCTCCCTATGCTCCAGTCATGAGTTTCCAAGGCTATGGAAGCCCTCTGAGTTCTCCGACTCTTATCTTTATAACAAGTATTTTTTCACAAAGTCAACTGGCCGTTTAATGCCACGTTGACACTTCCTGTTAGTAGTTTATCCCCAAAGACAGGACTGACTTTTCTGCCCCAAACCCAACATGCCTTTGAAGAGTTCCAGGAATCCCAGAAAAGAATGTTAAGGTCTTTGGAAACAGCAATTGGGCTGGAGGTGGGGGGCAGTGACTTAAAAGAATTCTTTAGTTTTAATTTTTTGCCCATTTATATTTAGAATCCTGGAGCTGAAGAATATGTGGAGGAGTGAGATATGCTTAAAACAGGGATAAAAGTAGCCAAAACTTCCCGCTAAAGTAATTGTATTATCAAATCCCCTTCCAAACAGTTGTTAAATCAGCAGCATTTAATCACATGGGTCCCTATATGAGACTTCTGTACATCTATTCTACCTTAGAACAAGAGCCTGACCTTTTAATAAGGTCATATGATCTCATATAATTCATAATAACAATCACTACCATTATCAAACACTTAACAAGGCTCAGGTCTTATGTTAAGCACTTTTGCAAACTTGTCTTGATCAGTTAATCTGAAAAACAACCCCATGATATCTGACCTTCATCGTTTTTACTGACGAAGTCACTGAGGTTCAGTGCAGCGACGACTTTTTCGTCTGTTCAGCTTTCCTCCCTGTGAGGAGCAGCCTTTCCCTTAAGTGAGGGAGCTAGGAGGGCTTAAGTCACAGCTCTGTCCAATCAGAATATGAAAGGCATAGGCAGGTGAGCAAGACCAGCCAAGTAGAATCTCTGAGAATTTGCATTGTGAGTGGAGTGCAGTCCAGGACTTAAAAGCAGTTAGAGTGGAATTGACAGAGCTCAGTACCCTAAAGATAGAAGAGATTTAACATCCCTGTCAGGATCCTTTGAACTGCCCTAGACCTGTTCTTCCCAAGGCCTGGGTTTCAGATCTTCTTTTCATTCTAGGAACGACCCTGATTCCTTCCAGCAAATTCCTTTGGGGGAGTGATTATGTTAACCGAGTTATTTTCTGTTCTCTGCAACTTAATTAAAGCACCTGATATACTTAAACAAGTTAAGTAATTGCTAAAATCTCACTGCTACTAAGGGGTAAATCTGGGATTTTAACTCAGGCCTATATGACTACAAAATTCCGCATTAGTTCTGCTCATTCTTTTCACCCTGTCACACTCATCTCAGGGCATTTGCTATTCCTGTAGCAACAGGTTTTGTGATTTTTGCTTTTCTGCTACAGGCTTGGGCCAGTTTGTTACTAGTATAACACACCAGCCAATATCAGTGTTGTTCTGTGTGGTTTTGTTTCTTAAGGTCTATCACAAAGTGCATAATATTAGTCTTGTAATGATGGACAGGTTGCTTCACCTCTCTGGTGTCTACTTTCTCATCCATCTGTGATAATAAAGGGACAAAAAAGTTAGATAATTGCAGGCTTCCTTTCAAGGAGGAAGGATGCCGATAACTGGAGGGTCTCCTCTGCTGAGCAAGGCTGATGGATGAGACAGTCAGGTCGAGTTGCTGAGACACAGCTACACTGCCCAAAGGCCTGGGGATAGATGACCCTGGAGGATAAATGAGCACGGTCATTTTCAGACTTGTTTGTGCCCCCATGACAAAAGATTTTTAGGAAGCACTTTAAGACAGATTATTTTTGTAAACTTCTGAATCAATATATTTGTGCATCTGTGTGATAACCAAGGGCCACTCCTACAGTACCCACACCTACTTTGGACACCTCTGACTTAGGGATCAAGAGAAGGGGATCCCTGTAATAACTCCAGATAAACTTCTTTTGGACCAGGCTTTCTGCTGAGGTTTGCATGTAAAAATGGAGTTCTAACTTAGCTTTTACCACATTATGTCGATTAATTTTTATATATTTTCTGTAGGGTTGTGACATTCTTAAGGGCAAAGTCTATGTCAAATTCATCTTGGTGTGCCCAGCGTGTGGCTCTAACATTCTTTGTGACACAAGTCGGTGCTGAATAAGCAATTATTTAATTTAATAGAACACTGCTTCCTCTGTGACCTTCCTTCCAGAGTTGTCAGCCCAGGCATTCGCGCTCCTTGGTTTTGATCTGGCCTGGGCCACCACTGGGACAGTGAAGCCGAAGCCTTCTGAGCAGTTGCCTGAAGTTCCCAACCCCAGCTCTCTGCTCTTAGCCCAGCGTGGTTGATCAACTGCAAATGATCAACACATTTTAAGCACTAACAAATGAAGAGTTAAATATCGAGAAATTACCCTTAGCTCCAGAGAAGGAAATCTACCAAATAGCAGCAGTATCTTCAAAACTATCTTTCCTTTAAATACAATCCTTTCTGGAGGAATGGGCAGGGTTTGCATGTGGACTTTCAGGGCTCACTGCCTGATGAAAGAACCACTAATCTGTGCCTCCAGGTTCTCCTGGTAGCTGTTATAAAACAGGGTCCTGTGGCAGGAGGCTTCTCCACGAGAAGTACATTTCCCGTGCCTGAGGTCTTTCGTCTTGAGCACTTAAGTTTTGCAATCAAGATCTTTAATTGTGCTCAGGTCCGGAAATAGTGCATATGTTTCTCGGTTTCTCTAATCCCTTGACTATATATTATTAGAGCTTTTGGAGGCGGAGGTTGCATCTCACATTTTTATGACATTATGCAATTCAGTCTTCCTTGGCGGCCCACAAGGAGCCTGGGAAAACTCAGGATCTCAACCTTTTCACATTCCCTGAGAAGGCAGTGGAATTCCATTCCTTTGTCCCTGCTGTTTTTCCCCAACAGAGGAAAGACGGTTGCAGGAAAATAATCAGGCTGTACACTCACATCCTCGGGGAGGGAAAAATTAATCGGATTCCCAGGGCCAAAGAGATTTAATCTGTCCAGCTTCAAGGACTGTCCCGCCTCGCGTGTTCTCAAACGGCAAAACAATGGACGAGCGGGCCACAGCCCATGTCTGGAGAATGAAGTGGAACAAACCCAGCAGGAAAGAAGAAAAACAAAATGGACAGAGAGACGCTGAGGGACTACAAACGTGGAGACTGCAATCCCTCCATGAAGAGGGTATTTAACCTGTGATGGGAGCTATTTCCTTTGAGAGGAGGTACCAGTGGTAAATCCAGAAGGCTCGCGCTGGGGCACTGGGGCTGGAGTCCCTGGAAGGCCTGCACTGGAAGATTTATTCAAGTCCCTTCTTCCTCAGCACCACCGCTGCCTCAGCACTTTCAGATGTAAATACTGTGTTGGCCACTCTATGCTAATCTCAGTTGCTATGCTAGCTGCTCCTCCATCCAGGAGTGAACTGACAGGAGCACCCATGCTACCCTGCAACATGCAGCAACCCGCCTCTGCTACTACTGCACTAAAGAAGAAAAGTCTTGATAGCATTTCCCTCTCCACCGGGGTCAATTAGTTATGGGCTTTCTTTTGCCTCAGTGCTATTCAATGAAAAGCAACCAAATGGAACCCCGACCCCTCCCTTCCTTGAAGTTCTCTAAGAAATGCACAATGCACAAACCAAGGGAGTGTCTTTCCTGGGCTGAGTCTTTCTCTCTGAATCCGTGCACAGAAACAGGACTGTGGCATTTGTGCCTCTGAACTTTTCCCCGCCTTTTGCACAGGAGACATTGTTTGTCCTCCTGAACCCAGAAGAGAAGCAAATGTTCGCTCTACTTGCATTTTGGTGAAATTCTCTCCTGGAACCGGGCTTGCTTCTGATCACGGACAGCTTTGCAGTGTGAGATTGAGTGGTCTTCAGGGCTGTCAGCAAAATAGGATCACTCCTTTGTGAAGGGGTGACAGGCCACACAAGTGCTGCCTGCTTCATCTGCTTGTGCTGGCTGACAACTTTGCAAGAAAAAGAGCATTAAAAATATTTTCCCACAGAATATATGCTAATTGAAGGAAACATATATAACAGACAAATCAAATAAAAGGGGATCACTCATAATTCCACCACTTAGAGGGAATTAGTACTCACACTTGGTGGGTAGATCTTGCTTATCCTTTTTCTACACATGACTTTGTTTCTTGATTAAAAATATATACACACACTGTTTGATGTACTTCTTTTACTACATAAAATATTTATTTTACTATATAAAGTGTATATTTTCTTATCAGATAGCTTTCCAAATCTCACTTAAATAGGATTTTTGGTTTGGTTTAACTTATGAGAGTATCATAAATAACCAATCTCCCATTTTGAGGATACTTGAAATTGTTTTTCTTTTGGAAAATAATTTGGATAAAAATCCATATTTTGAATACATTAACGATACTTTCCTGGATATCAATTACTACCCACAGAGTTGTTATTCCAAGGATAAACAATTTGTTGTCTTTTAACTTGTTGTCAAATTGCTTTCCAAAAAGATACCAGTTTACAAGGCCACCAGTTATTTATAAAATTATTTTTAATCTCTGGTATTTTGATAGGCACTCACCAAAATGTGTCCTATTGTTGTTTTAGTTTCTTTTTATTTAAATAGATAATACATGGAATATTTTTTGTCTTTATGCCAACTTGTGTTGCTTTTTCTGTGACTACTCTGCTCTGTGAATACCTTATAACCCAGAGTCTCTGGACTGTTGGTACATGAGGAACTTTCTATTGGGAGCTGAGTATTTTCTGTATTGCTATGTCAGAACTTTTTATGTATTATATTCTGAAAGACAATTATCTATGTAATATAATTCTTTTTTTCTCAGTTTGATGTTTGAGTTTCAATACTGTTTATTGCGTGGAGTATGTAAAATAATTTTACATGTTTAGTAAAAATTTTAATACAGTGAAACAATACATATATGAACTATAATCACCTAAATATCACTACTCAAGTATATAAAATTTTTATTACTACTATACTTATAATTCATAGTATTTATATTCATAAAATTCATAATTTTAATATTTTCGTTTACAACTTTTTTCTTTCTTTTATAATCACCTGCATTTTCTTCTATTTTATTAATATGTAAATCTTTACTTCATCTGGAATAATTTTGGTATCTGGATTAAGATAAGGATATAAATGATATATTTCTGAATTATATCTTCTGCCCAGTATATTTCTTTGTAAAAGTATGGGTATGTTGGGGGACTGGTGTTGTGGTGTCAGCACTCATAAAAGAGTCTTGGCTGCTGTGCTTTTGACCCAGCTCCCTGCTAATGCACGTGGGAAGGCAGCAGATGATGATCCAAGTACTTGGGACCCTGCCACCCATATGGTAGACTGTATAGGATTCTCGTGCCTTTTGCCTGGCCCAGCCCTGGCTGGCTGTTGCAGCCACTTGGGGAATGAACCAGCAGATGGAAAATCTCTCTTTCTCTCTCTGTCACTCTACGTTACAAATAAATAAATCTTTAAAAAATAAATCTTTTAAAAAATCTTTTTATGTAGACATGGAAGAGTGCATGAAGGGAATGATGAGTAAGCCAAATGACTCTGAAAAGCAAGGAAGTATACCAACAGTGAAGACTGGTCAGCAAGCATCCAGTGGCTGCATCTAATAACCAGATTGAATGGGGTCCAACAGTATGTGTGAAAACTGATGAAGCGGCTAGAGATGCTGAGATATGAGTTGGCTGCTCACACTCAAGTTTCCTCCACCCCTGCTGCCACCTCCTGGGAGCCAATACATAAGCCTACTCATTATAATCAGTTGGCCTTAAGGCATATAAAACATGTGAACTTAAGTGGGAAATCTGTGACCAGGACTTGATGGACATGGGACTGGACAGTTGAGACATCTGAGAGGATTTCAGATTTTTTTCCTCTTTGTTACCTATGGATGAGAGTAAAAGTTATGGCTGTATGTATACAGAAGATTGTTAGTAGCTTTAACATAAAAAAAAAAAAAACCTCTCCTACCCTACTCCTAATTATATGAGAGTTACACAGTTTTATGATTTAGCTTAGGTTATCTATGCCCTCTTCTCAGTCCTGCCCATACCTCTTTTAGAACAGCCTAGCTTACTTTTCCCAACATCATGAAGAACTCAAGCATGCCAACTTATGCTTCTTTCTCCTCATTAACCTGCTCCCTGGCCTGAGTAAAGATATGTGTTCATAAATCATTTTGCTGCTTCTAAAAATAGATTAGGGCCAGTGCCGTGGCTTACTTGGTTAATCCTCTGCCTGCGGCACCGGCATCCCATATGAGTGTGCCAGGTTCTAGTCCCGGTTGCTCCTCTTCTAGGCCAGCTCTCTGCTGTGGCCCAGGAAGGCAGTGGAGGATGGCCCAAGTGCTTGGGCCCCTGCACCCGCATGGGAGACCAGGAGGAAGCACCTGGCTCCTGGCTTCAGATAAGCACAGTGCTGTTGTGAGTTCTGTTTTAAAACAGTTTTTTTGAGATGCAGTTCGTGTAACATACAATTCACTCACTTCCAATGTACAATGCAGTGATTTTTAGTAAATTCACAGACATGTGCAACCATCACCACAGTCCATTTTAGAATATTTACTTTACTTCCATACATTTAAACTGTCATCCCTCTAGCTCCCCAGTCACTCCTCCTCTAATCATAAACAACTGCTAGTCTGCTTTATGTCTCTATAGATTTCTCTGAGTATTCATATGGATGGAATCAGGTATCTATTCTGATTATATATTATATCTGTTATCTAATATATAACATCTAATACTATATCTATGCATATAATATATAACTATATGATAATTGAAATATCTAATATATAAAATATCTATATATTATCTATTTTTTATTTCTTTCTTTCACTTAGCATGTTTTCAAGATTCATCTATGTTGCTATAGCATGTATCACTCCTTGAATGTGAGGCTGAACATTGTGATTCTTTATGAAGAGACAGTAGGGAGAAGGGGAATGAAAGAGATAACTTTACAGTGTAGAAATCTGTTAAGCATTATCTCTACCAAGATCATCTTAACATCAGCAGGGATGAATTATATTGATCGTATATACCCCTGATGTGATATGCTTTGCTTTTGTGCTTCTCTACTTAAAAACCTCAATCATGAGAAAAACACCAGAAAAATTTTCAATTGAGGCAATTCCACCAAATACTCAATGAATATTTGATATCCTGTATAGATTCTAGAATAGAAAAATGATATTAGGAAAAAGATGGAGGAGAATTTAATAAAATGTGAACTTGAGTTAATAACAATGTATCAGTATTGGTTTACTGGTTGTAACAAAAGTACATACTTATGTGAGATGCTAATACTAGAGGAAACTAGGTGTAGGGTACATATATCCCTGTATTTTTCTGTAAGTCTAAAGCTATTCTAAAACAAAAAGTCATTTTTAAAAGACAGATGAAGACATTATTTTAAAAAGCAATTCATTGGTTTCCTAGTTCCTATTCTTTTGTGTTTTCAGAAATCCACTTCTCTGCAGCCAGAGCATCTATGAGAACTGCCTGTGATTTAAAAATATATAGTATGTGTGTGTGTATATATATATATATATATATGTATATAAAGAGAGAGAGAGAGAGAAACTTGTTACTAGGGCACCGTGCAAAATACTTTGCATGCAATATCTCAACAAAGCATTACCCAAATCTTTAAAGTGGCATAACATACCAACTATTAATGAAAAAACTGAGACTCAGAGAAGGCAAATCATGGACTTACTCAAGTCCACACATAATGAGAGTGTTTGTTAAGTGACTAGGGCTGAAGGTTGGCTTCCGTAGGTTGACAACTGGTGTGACATCTTTTCTGAAATGGCAGTAGAGGGTGGGAAGGAGGCAGGGAACTGGAGAAGCAGTAAGGCGAAACTAGTGATAGGGAACTCTACATTGCAGCTCAGGGGCTGATGACTCTCTCTCTCTCTCTCTCTCTCTCTCTTTAATTTATTTGACAGAGTTAGACAGTGAGGAAGAGAGACAGAGAGAAAGGTCTTCCTTCTATTGGTTCACCCCCCAAATGGCTGCTACAGCCGGAGCTTCGCCAATCTGAAGCCAGGAACCAGGTGCTTCTTCCTGGTCTCCCACACGGGTGCAGGGGCCCAAGCACTTGGGCCATCCTCCACTGTCATCCCAGGTCACAGCAGAGACTGGAAGAGGAGCAACCAGGACTAGAACCCGGCCCCCATATGGGATGCCGGTGCCACAGGTGGAGGATTAACCAAGTGAGCCATGGCTCTGGCCCCCTGATGACTCTTACAAAGCAGGCCTGCTCATTCCCTTGCTCCCTATTCCTGGGAAATGTAAAAGTCAAGTCTAAGACAAGCTAAGCAACTCAATCAGTTCTGTCCAACATAGGTTAATTCAGTGACTTCACATGGGTTCTCTGCTAACCTGCTTTTCTGAGTAAGTTCTCTACTGAACAAACATGCTTTAGCAGGAGACATCTTTATTTGTTATTTCTTGATTTTGTTCCCATAAAAGCACACACTAAGCTTCTTTCTACAATGAGAGTGAAGGATATTTGCCACAACTTAAAACTTTTGCTATCAGTATGTTCCTATACATATATGTATAGAGAAGAACGCATGTGTGCAGACACACACACTTGGATATTTCATATAACTTCCATATGAGAACTTAGACTTGCTTTAATGTTGCTAAGAATTCCTGGAAGCAAGGAGAGCTGTCTAGCCTTTCATGACAAAGATTTAAAAACTACTAATGGTTTGTAAGCAAGAAAGGACTGACAATGACAAGTCTAATTAAACATTGAAAGAGAGAGCTGATCCACGTTTAGCTGATTTGTACTCTTCTTGATGAGAAGCTTTCTGAACACAAACTATTTATATTTACTTAAATATCAAAGCAAATTAAAATGGATGAAAGAAGTATGAGCTTTGGTGTTCTCATCTTAGGAATTTAAATATATATGAATGAATGTATG